GCACATACTTGATGCGCATGTGCCAGAAGCAATGCAACAAGCCTTCCCAGTGCGCAAGACGGAAGGCAGAAGGCAGCCACGCCAATGCTGGATACATAATGGCACGCTGGCCGCCATCGACCGACGCACCACACGCTTGCGACATACGTGCGCTCTCCGCACACAGGTCGCCAGGCTCCGAAAAGCCATGTTCTTCTCTGTCTGGGCGCACAGTACACGCCATGCTAAGCACGTCGATGCTTGCATATTCTGCGATTCACTACGGTACGACCCCCCCACTCCAGATACATTGGTGGGGCATCTGGAATGCAGCATACGCGCATACAGCACAGCACGTACAGATCTCATAAAGGCACTCAGGGAATCGCTTCGACTCCAGCACGCGAGCACCACGACACGCAAAAGAGCCACGTGGTTACGGATTGCGCACAGGACACAAGCGGAGAGTTGTTCTGTGCCTGTTTTTGGCTACACGACCCTGCACGGACGGGGCTTGCTCATTTATGTGCAGTACGTCCGCAGACTGTTGCGCCTCTCAGGACAGGGGGCTGCATGCAGGGAACGGATACAGTTGCACAGCACATTCATTGCCATAATGAATTCACAGGCTGACGCCATACAGTACTACCGCTCACTAGGTAACCAGCTACTTACACAATGGTCCAGGCACCACACGGATAAGGCATTCGCTACTCTACGACGGAAGGGAGCCGGGTCCTAGAAACGACTACTATTAAGTTCACCACCTATAGTAAGGCATCCCAACGGCACGCCAGCCTCAGATTCGGCTGAGGCAGCCGACATCTGGCTAAGGAACCTTGGCAAGTTCCCGATCGCGCATGCCCAGGCAACCCATGACATGCTCCCGCCTTTGCCAGAAGCTGAGGTCAACGGAGTAACCCCAGAACAAGCTTTTATGCCAGCACTCGCTCAGTTTCATACCACTTGCAAACGGTCACGCGCCTCAGCGCCCAGCCTGGACGGCATCCCGGGCAAGCTGCTGGCTAAGTTCGGCACTGACTTAGGTCGCATCTAACTTTCCAGTCGTCACTAAGGCTGTACTACGCATAGAGGAGCCAGTACAATGGAAAGGGGGATGCTACTGGAACATCTGGAACCGAGGAGGTAACCCATCGTGGCCCATCAACTCCAGATCTGTCATGATCTCCCCACATATTGGAAAGAAGTTTCGCACCCTAGTACGCACACCCTTAGCGGACGTATCACCGGAGCAAGCTGGAGAGACGCAGTTCGGAGGAATTGCAGGCAGAGGAGTCGACCTGGCAGGTTCGGCCCTCAGATCGCTCTCCAAGCTTGCACAAGTGCAGAATGTTTCAATCATGTTTTTGCTGGTGGACGTTGTGCAAGCTTTCTACAAATCACTACGACAACTGGTCATGACTACATGCAATACGGTGGAAGATGTTGCCATGCGACTGAAGATTACAGGGCTGACGCCAGCTGCAATGCACCGCCTCATGGATCATCTCAGGGAGGGTCCCACCGCTCTGGACAAGGCCCAAGTTGGCCAGCATCTGGCGGCCCTCACGGCCTCGTCGTACCACGGTTCTTGGTTCACCTACCCGGGATCTACTCTGGTTGCGCTTCCTATGATGGGGACGGCTCCTGGACAACAATCGAGGGACGAGGTATTCAATTTCATCATGGCTGAGTGTGTCAACTTAGCCAAACAGGGCTTACTTCCCCACATATACCTACGAGTATACCGATGCTAGAATGTGCGTCACTCACTCAGCTACTGACACATGAACCAGCTACGACCACCCATGCAGTGGACATCTGTTTTTGTTGACGACGGTGTCTTTGCAGTATTCGCCACGCCCATGCACCTTCTTGCCATTGCGTCAGACGTTGCAGGCATCGTTGCGTCAAGTTTCCTGGAGCGAAGGCTCCAACTCAACTTCGAGAAAGGCAAGTCGGAACTGCTCTTTCAGTTTTTCGGTACCCACGCCAAGCTCGCCAAAATCGACCTCTGGAAGACACGGCAGGGCAAATTTCGAGTTAAAACCGACAGCACCGCGGAGTTCACTATCTGTGCGGTTCGACAATATCCCCACCTCGGGACCATCCTGGACGAAAAAGGAGCCATGTGACCTGAAGTTGCGCACAGAGTTGCAGGGGTGGCCCAGTCTTCCGAAGTCCTAAGGAGACGTGTTTTCCCGGCATTCAGCAGGGACCCTTCAGCCATGAAGGTCTCCAAGCTACCCAACGACCAGGAAAGCGAGGACGAGAGTGTGCTGCACAAGGGAGACCAGACAAACATCAAGATGCGTTGCCGATGCTCTGATCACGCCATCCCTACTTTTCAACGCAGGCATTTGGATCCATCCGGAAAAGGAAGCTATAAAGACACTAAGCAACACCATGATAAAGAGATACAGGGCAGCATCAGGTCTTCACAGGCACAACGACCAGGCAGTTCCAGACCAGGAGGTACTAGCAACAGTCATGCGGCCCGCCGTGGACGTACAATTACGCGTACACAGGCTACGGCTACTAGGTAGAGTTCTTCATCATGGCTCCGCTCTCCTTCTAGGCATATTAGCACATGCGTACCGTACTTCCATCTCTCACCATGCCTACAAACTAACACGTATTCATCATATAATAGAAGATTAGAAGATGTGCAGAGGCCAGCTAGGTTCGGTGCAAAACACTTATCGTGATCTACCCAGCCCGTATCAAGATCTGGCACCATGGGAAAGACGTAACCGAGCCTCCCTTACTGCATGGAGGCAGGCGTTGAAGGTCGTGCAACACGGAGCGACGTGTGCGCAAGCAAGAGCGACACTGGCTGGCAAGGTCGAGCGTGATTTATTTCAGATTGTGCAGTCACATATCCAGATCATCCCCTTAGAGCAGCAGAGATAGAAGCACCAACTACGTGCATATGTCTGTGGTGTTCGACGGTGTTTCCCAAGGCAAGGGCACTGAAGCAACATGCCATACGCATGCACTATACCATGGCATCACAATTGGAGTATCAGATGGGGGACACAGCAGTCTGCAGGGCGTGCGCTACTGAATTTGCATCCAGGCGACAGCTCAGGGACCATCTCGCATACGACTCAGCAAGATGCTGTCTCTCTCACCTCATGCACGGCATGTAGCTATCAGCCTCTGCAGCAAAGGAGGCAGCAGAGGGAGACCGCCAGCACGACCAGGACCAGCGAAAGGCAAGTCTAGCGGGTGGAGAGCGGCGCACCCAGCTATCCCTGAACAGTGTGCCGACGGTATGGTGTGGGAGTCTGCCTGGGTATTTTCACATTTGGAGGCGAATGCTGCCAGAGATGTATTGCGAGAATCCAGCTACGAGCTTACTCCTGAGGCGCTTCTGACCATGACCGACGTTTGGTACGAACGACCTGGCCCACGGCCTCTGGAGGCCATCGACCCTGCTCAGGCAAGATACGACCTTTTCCGACCGCAGGACTTTCAAGAACCAGCTGCACAGCTAGTACCGTGGAGGATACAACGATCAGAGGACTATATACTGAAGGTGTACTGTGGGAGCAGACGCACGGGCGACATACAACACCACATCGAAAGCATGAATGTGAGCGCGCACATCATCTGTACAGTACTGTCAATCGACATAGCGATCGACACAATTAGATGCGATATTACGAAGCACGATACATTCGAGATGTGGGCCGGACATCCCAGGGCGCGGAGATTCTGGGTCACTGGTGGGAGTCCCCCATGTGAGACCTGGAGTACTGCTCGCTGGGAAGGAGATGCCCCCCCACTCAGGACCCACACTCACTCCTGGGGGGTGCCATGGAGCACGCACAAGCAGGCGATCCAGCTCGAGATAGGAAATAAGCTACTCCACTCTCTCATCCTCCTCATGGCAGAGCATGTCAAAGCAGGCACGTGCACATGGCTGGAGCATCCTCAGCCAGCAGTGTGGAAAGCACAGGCAGTTTCCAGCTTCACGTGGCTCCCACTCAAGTCGATTGAATGCTGCCCAGTTGCTAGTACTATTGACTGTGACCAGTGTACGCTGCAGGACGCAGCACCAGAGACAATAGCCAGAGCCCCCACCAGAATTCTCGCCCTGAGGCTCCCGAAGATGTACCAGTATCTCATTGCAATCAGTGGGGGGAGGTGCTGCCACGACAAAGGAATACATACCACATTGCTAGGCACAAGAAAAGATAACCGAACTTTCAGGACCAGCTCCAAAAAAACGCACCCGGATATAATGTGCGCTGCCATCGCTCGAGCTATGCACGAAGCGGTACAGAGCGCATGGCCTTCAGATAAGGAATAAGATGTCCCACCTCCTCCCCCCACCTCGGATGTGACCCCTGAGGAGGGGGAAGATATTGCTGATGCAAGGTTATCGGAATTCAGGGCCGAGCTATTGGAGGGTCTCTGGGAAGCATCAGACTTCGCCCAGCACGCCGCGATTTCCAGGAAACGCGGTGATCCTGAGGTGTGCCGATGGACTCCTCCCTCGCCCTCGCCTCCCGTTGGCTCCTTACCCCTTCCTGCCGAGGATCCCATACACCCTCCGCCGCAGGAAGGCTCCCAGACGGGAGAGGCCGCGGCAGCGCCCTTCGGCTCCACGGCCAAGGAGGCCAGAGCTCTTTCAGCAGAGGACGGGGTTCCCCCTTCTCTTGTCCCTTCCTCGCCTCCTTCGGCTCCTCCCCTCCCCCGCCCCCTCGCCTCTTTCGGCTCCTCCCCCTCCCCCGCCCCCTGCCCCCGTCCTCACAGCAGATCAGCCGGCCAGGATCGCAGCCTGCAGAGCTGAGGCCAAAGCACGTCGACACAGACGGGTGGCACCTTGGACTGGTCAGCTTTCTTTCAATTTTTACTCTGCGAGTTGACCTGGGCCCTCGCTTTTGTACCGGTCCCAGGCTCCTCAAAACAGAGTTTTCTCAGAGTTGAGCACGTCTTCACGACACTGCCATCGTCCGCCACCGCCTCCCTCCTCCCCCCTCCCTCCTCTCCCCCCTTTCCTGGAAGTGGGCGGGACCTTCCTCTTCCTCGAAATGCCAGGCATCCCCCTGCGGCGGCTGCGGCTGCGCCGCCGGCGGAGCCTCCACGGGCAGGGGGGCCCATGAGGGTGTTGTCTCGCCCTGCTCGGGCAGCTACAGGAGCAGCAGCAGAAGCAGCAGCAGGGGGTATCTCCTGGGAGGTCCGCGCATTTGACAACGACTGAAGGCTACAGAGCCCGATTGAAGGGCCACGAAGCTCGGGGGCGTCCAACAGGGGGGAGTCCAAGAGAGGGGTGATTCGCAAATCATGGCAAGAGGCATATGCGCGAAAGAGGGGGACCAGGGCACGTGTTGAGAGACGAAGAAGAAGAGTAATAACAATAAGTATCCCAGTGCGACCCTACCTAGGAGTTGGAGCCCCTAGGAAAACAGCATAAGCTAAGCTAAGCTAAACTGAGCTAAGCTAAGCTAAGCTAAGCTAAGACAGCTAAGCTAAGCTATGCTAGATTTAAGCTAAATTATTATGATATAAGCTAAGCTAAGCTAAGCTAGGCTAGGCTAGGCTAGGCTGAGCTAAGCTAAGCTAAGATAGCTAAGCTAAGCTAAGCTAAGCTCAGCTGAGGTGGGCTAAGCAAAGCTAAGCTACTATGATATAAGCTAAGCTAAGCTAAGCTAAGCTGAGATAAGCTAGGCTAAACTAAGATAGGCTCGGCTAAGCTAAGCTAAGCTAAGATGAGATAGGCAAAGCTAAGCTCAGATAAGCTGGGCTAAGCTAAGCTAAGCTAAGCTAAGCTAAGCTACGGCAAGGTCAGCTAAGCCAAGCTAAGATAAGCTAAGCTAAGCTAGGCTAGGCTAAGCTAAGCTAAGATGGTATAAGCTAAGCTGAGCTAAGCTAGGCTAGGCTAAGCTAAGCCAATATGAGATAAGCTAAGCTAAGCTAAGCAAAGCTAAGCTATGCTAAGCTAAGCCAAGCGTGGCGGATGCCGGGGGAACCGCGGGGCGGATGCTGGGGGAACCGCCCGGGGCGAGATACACTGCCCGGCCCTTTTAGCACACCGAGTAAGAACCCTTCTAGGCAGAGCCTAGGTAGGGAATGCTAAACATAATAATAATGGGGATAATAATACTAATAATAAGAAACATAAACATGAAAAGAAAACGAAACGCCATGCAATCTGGGGAGATGTCATGGCTCTAGCAATCATATCCCCCTTGGTCATCGCCCCCTCCTTGGCCGCCCCCGACCTCCTTAAGACGAAGCCAGGACCGGGACCAAATCGGACCAGGATAAATCGGCGACCTTTGAATTCCGGCGGTGCTGGAGGATTTCTCGGGCGCCGCGGCCGTTCCAGAACGCTCCGCAACGCTCTGAGAACTGAGAACGGTCTTGCGCCCTCTGGAACGATTTATCCCAATCCTATCCGCGCTCGATTCATGTTGCCAGCCGTCGCACTGTTCGCGGCCCCTGCGCCGGGTCGACCTCCGCTCTCGCCAGGCACGTGGGCAGTGGCCACTGTAGGCACAGGGCACGGGCCTGCCGACCTGTGCTCCCCGGAGCCAGCGTCGAGCGGGGCGCGCGCGCCGGGTCGAGCTCCGCTCTCGCCAAGCACGCGGGCTGCGGCCACTGCAGGCACTGGGCACGGCCCTGCCGACATGTGTTCCCCAGAGTCAGCGTCGAGCGGGGCGTAGCGCGCGCGCCAAGTCGAGCTCCGCGCTCGTTTCGGGCATATGGCACTCCAATGACAGGGCGTCTGTGTGTGCCTCCGTGTCCCCTTCCTCGACCCCCCCCAGGCCACCACGAAGCGGGGAGCGAGCACTGGCCAACATCCATTGATATCTTTGCGGGTTTGCGGGCACGATGTTCAGGACACCAAACACTTGGCGGGGAAGGGCGGGGGGCTCGTCTCGTCCCGCATGTCGGACCCATCCCAAACAATGGTACCACTTACAATCGACCTGGCTGGACACTTCTCAGACGACCATTAAACCAAGCAGTACCAATGACAACCAGCAGTCTTGAGCCGACATTAGAATTCTATGCGTACAGCATGTAAAGAAAATTCAAACATCCAATGAACGTCTAACGAGTGCACATTCATTCTAGGAATCAACATGAGTACCCCGGTTGGGATTTGTACTACTTTACTTTATGGTATCTGGGGGATGTGTTGTCTTGTAACTGCACTTCTCAACAACACACATCACCTCAATACAGCAACGCATACTCAACACCAACATACATTCACAACACATACCCACACACCTTTCCACGACGACACGTATCCAAAGCCCGATGTCTCATCATCCTTGTCATCGTCCGAACTGTCCCCTCATTTCCTGCCTGATTTCTCCTCTGCCTCCTCATCCTCCTCTTCCTCCTCTTCCTTACATTCCTCGTGCTGTATTCTTAATTTTCCTCCTCGAGTTCCTCTTTTCCACTCCTCCTTCTTCCCTATGTTCCCTGCTCTCTTCCTCCTGTTCCTCCTGTTCCTCCTCCTCGTCCTCCTCTTCCTCTTGTCCCCAAGCTGGTCCCAGGAGGTCGAGCATGACCCAAGATAGCCCCCGACGAACCTCCGAGAGGTTTCAAGACAGCCTCAGAATGGCGCAGGATAGCTGAGCATGGCCCAGGATGGCCTCCGACGGCATCTAGCCGACCAGGGCTCAACAACAACCTCCAAGAGGCCTCAAGAAAGCATCCGATCGTGACTGGACGGGCTGGTGGGGATACGCGAATCTCAAACGTTTGTGTTTGTTTGAACATGCATTCGATAGGGAAGCGGGGAAGGATGCGGCGGCGGCGGAGGCGAAGGCGACTCCTTTGGCCGCCCTCTCCCTCCCCATGGGTTCGGGGGCTCCCCGAATCCCCGAAGGCACGAAACGCCTCCATTGGAAGCGTCGCCCTCGGGCGGTGGGGGGATCCCGCGCCCGCAAGAAAGAAGGCGGGGCCGAACGACTCGGCGCCCGCGGCGGAAGGCAAGGCGACTCGTTCGGCAACGGTCGCCCTCCCCGTGGGTTCGGGAGCTCCCCGAACCCACGAGGGCACGAAACGCCTCCATTGGAAGCGTCCCCATTTGGGGTTTGGGAAATCTTGCGTCCGCAAGAAAACAGTGGCCCAACGACTGGGCGGCGGCGGCGGAGGGCCATGTTACTCGTTCGGCCGCCCTCTCACTCCCCATGGGTGCAGGGGATCCACGTACCCCCGAAGGCACGAAACGCTTCCATTGGAAGCGTCGCCCTCGAGGATCTGGGAACCTCGCGCACGCAAGCGAGGAGGCGGGAACCAAACGATTCGGCGGCGGCGGCGCGGAGCAAAGCGACCCGTTCGCCCCCCTCACCCTCCCCATGGGTTCGGGGACTCACCGAAGCACCGAAGGCACGAAACGTTTCCCGTTGAAGCATCGCCCTCAAGGCCCGGAGAACCCCGCGCCCGCGGGAGAGGAGGCGGGGGCCGAACGACTCGCCGGCGGCGGCGGGGGGCAAAATGATAATCGTCCGGCCACGCTTTCCCTCAAAATGGGTCCGGGAGCCCCTCGAAACCCCGAGGGCACGAAATCCCCAGGAATCCTCAGGAACAGGAGTCCTGAGGAATCCTCCAGGAATCCTTCAGAAATCCTTCAGGAATCCACCGAAATTAAAGAGATTCCCTAAGGAATCCACAAGAGTCTCGACAAATGGTTCAGGAACCCTGAAACATACTTGGGGGATTCTTCAAGAATCCGCAGGACTCGTGAGGAATCCTCAGGATCCTTCAGGGATCCGAACCAATCGTTAGGCATCCTTCGCGAATCCTCCAAACTCAGCAGGGATTCTTCAAAAATCCGCCAGGAACTTGGGACAATCATTCACTCTGGAGCCCCCAGGAATTCTCAGAAATCCTTGAGGACTCTTCAGAAATCCTGCAGGCAACCCCAGAAATCCATCAGGAACCCTCAGGAATCCTCAAGAATCCTTGTGAATCTCAAGGAATCCCGGAGGAACCCGCAGGAAACCTTCAGGAATCCTTGAAGAACCCTCCGAAATCCTTCATGAATCCACAGGAGCCCTGAGGAATCCTTGAGGAGCCTTGAAAATCCTTCGGGAATCCGGCAGAAGCCTGAGTCTTCCAGAAATCCTTGGGGATCGTCTGGAATCCTTAGGACTCCTCAGAAATCCTTCAGGAGTCCTTCGGACATCGTTCAGAAATCTTCCGAAGTCCTACAGGAATCCTCAGAAATCCAAAAGAATTCGGAATCCTGAGCCATCCGAAGGAATCCTCCAGAAATCCTGAAGTTCCTCTGGGGACCCTCTGAGGAATATTTAGGGAGCCTGTAAGGAGCCTGTAAGGAGCCTCCAAGGAGTCTCTTAGGAACCTGTAAGGAACCCCAGAAGTTTCCAAAGCGGTAGTAATTGGTACCAGTTGATTGGGATTGGTATCGACATGGTCGGCATCCGTCCTAAAGACTCGAAGTTTATAAAATGTTCGCTTCGTCCCTCCTCCGCATCCCCATCCCCCCCTCATCCTCCCGACCCTCCTCCCTGGAGGCGGAGTGGGAGGACCTCCCCCCCTCTCCTCCTCCAGTTCCTCCTCTCCTCCTCCCTCCCTCCCCCCTCCGCCTCTTCCCCCCCGCCCCCTCCTCCCCCTTGTGGCGGGGACGCCAGGAAGAGTTCACGGCCCCCGCGGCCAGAGAGCGGCGCTCACGGCGGGGGCGGGGCGCGCACCTGGGGGGCCGCCGCGGCCTGCTGCCGCTGCTGCTTGAGCTCGCGGGCCCTCTGGCGCCGCTCCTCGCTGCCCCATCGGCGACGGCGACGGCAGCTGCGACCGCGGCGGCGCAGCGAGAGCGGCGGCGGCCAGAGCGGCGGGGAGAGCGGCGGTGGCGGCAAAGAGCCCGCGGGCCCTCTGGCGCGCTCCCCCCCCCTCGCCGCCCAGACCAGCCGTCAGGCCTCCCCCAACCCGCCCAAGGGTGTCCAGCGTCGCGTTTCGCGCCCCCTCGAGGCCTCGAGGAGGCTCCTTCCACGCCTCGCGAAGAGAAAAACGGTTCGCGCTTGCCTTCGCCGCCCCAGCCACCCCCGCCGCCCCGGCCGCCCTTCCCCTCTGACCCAGGCCGTCCAGCTGTGAGGCTGCGCACGTGACCTTCGATGCAGCGTCGAGGGGCCAGAAGCGTGGCGGATGGTGGGCAGATTGTGAGCCCGTTGCTTACGGGGCAGACGGAAGGGAAGCATGGCAAAGGGCTGCCGAACCAGCTCGCCGCGGCTGGTTTTTTTTTGGCGCCAGAGACGGCCACGTGGCAGCGGGAACGGAACTAGTAGCGATGTTCGTCACCACCCTTTCCCGACCCACACTGCCGTCCGCCCCGAATGATCCTCGTCGTCTGGCTTTCGGGTCATGTCTCGGGTCTTCCGCGGCGGGCCAGGGCGATTCGGGCACCCCTGGAATGCTATCGGCGAGACTCAACGACAACAGATCCGAGACACCGAGGTAGCTGGGTGACACCCCCTCTGCCGCCCCGACCCCCCTCCGTCCGCCCCCGACGTCCGCCACGAAGGGGGACCCCTTCGAGGCCAAGAGGCCCCCGAGAGACATCCCCAAAGACCTTCAGACAGGCACGGTGGCCAGATGGGCCGAAGGCCACCAGGTGGGGCAGAGTTGAGCAGGAGAGATAGAGAGTGTAGAGATAAGGGAATCCAACACAGAGCGAGCTGAGAGGGTAGCTAAAGTGAACGCGAGAGAGAGAGTGAATGAGAAAGGGATGGATAGAGAGAGAGAGAGAGAGGAGGAGGCAGGCGTGGAGTGCCGGGGAAAACGTCAGAGATTGGGGTCTTAGTCTGGTGTTATCGTGACCCTCTGAGAACCCTTGACGTCCAGCCTCTCGACTTGTTACACAGTCAACCCGCAGAGTCAGGATGCGCGATAAGGATGCAAGGCCCTTGGAGGCCCATTTCGAAGCGTTTCGAGCGGGGCGCGGCCAACGAAAGTGGCCAAGGATGGACCCAGGAGGCAAGGATGCAAGGGTGCCCTTGGGAGGGATGCCTATCCTTACTCTGCGGGTCGACTGTAATCGTGACCCTCTGAGAACCATTGACATCCAGCCTCTCGACTTGTTAAACCCCCGACCCCCCGACTTCCCGACCACTTCCAGGCACTGGCTTTTCGCTCCTTTTGGCGGCCCCGAGGCGTGGGAAAGTCTCCCAAGCCGAAAACTGACGGAAACCGTTCGTCGTGAATTTTTCCTGACGCGAGGGGGTCTGGGTCTAGGTCCGTCTCACCTGGCGTAACGCCCAGCACCCACTCGGGCTCCCGAGATGGTCGGACGCGACCGGGAGGGGCGTCCTGCGCCCTCCCGGGGCGCCTCCCGCCGCGAGACGTCTCTCAGCCGACTTGGCATGCGAGCTCGCAGCTGGAACTGCGCCACGTGGATCACGAGCGGCGAACATTTCCGTATCGAGGCGGCGACACCCGAACCCTACTACCACCAACCTTCGGGTCTCCTGAACCGATGGGAAGCGAGGGTAGGGTTAGGACTTCGCCACGTTTTCGACGAATTCCGAGCCCACCCCCCGCCGCACATCGAGTTGCCTGAATCGATGATCGTCGAGAGGGTTCGGATTTCTTGATGTCGCGGTTTCATTATTTTGTTTGCCAGGAGCACATGAGTTACTTGGAGAAAAAGATGGCGAGTGAGCTTGATGATGGGTTACCCAAGCTGGTGCACATCCAGACCAAATTCAATGGCAATAAGGCGCAGCTTTTCCGAGAGCATTCACTTGTGTGCGCGTGTGTGCGTGTGCGTGTGTGTGTGTGTGCGTGTGTGTGAAATAACGATTGGGCTGGGGGCAGACATTCGGCAGTGGAGTTGAAACGGGGGGGAACTGTTATGTTTTGGTTTAGTGTCCAATGCCACGCCGTATCTTTTGTTTCTATCGCGTGCTGCTTTGAATCATCTCACACTCACTCCAATGCACCAGGCTGCATACGATGAGGCCCTAAACGCGGGTGCTGTCCAGGAGTGGATCGGCAAGAATGGCATTGAATACAGCGGACACTCGGGGTGCCGCATCACCAAAACAAAAGGCACAGAGCGGACCACTTCTGTCGGAGGCGAGAGGATGGTTGGCAGCCAGGAGGCTCTCGAGATGCAGTCTGCCATGGAGGCGATTGGCTGGACTTTCAATTTCACCAAGAAAGAGACAAAGGAACCTCGTTTAATATTACATGATAACGTCTTGTCTTCTTCCGCGCCATTTGGTTATTGCATTGTGTCATATAGTATTGTATTTTGTGATGCGATTGATCATTACTATGTCCCTCGATTCGTGTATCCAGTATTAGTTCAATTTACATTATGTTTTATCTCATGCGTAAGGCGACCCTCATGAAACGTTGAGTATCACATCGTTCCATTAGATCATGGACGGCAAGATGGCGCAGAAAGAAATCCCCGAACCGCTCAAGACGCACATCGCGGAGGCGTGGTCGAAGAAGATGATCGGTATTTTGCGCACGAAGGGCACTGACCCAATCACCGTGGCCCACGTGGAGAAGCTCACGGACATGGAGCCCAAGCTGAAGGATCTCCTTGTATTTCGTTGATAGTAGTTTACATGTTTTGATCGGCGGTAGTGGTTTTGGGACAGATACGCAATCGATTCGCTCAGCGAGTTGGTGTCCAGAGGGGGCAGGGCGCGGGGCGAGGGGTACGAGGGCAACGTGGGCCGGGCGCGCGATAAACGCCGCAACGCCAGGACTACGAGCACGTCCTCGGCAAGATGCAGACGCATATGGTCAACACGAGCAATGAACCATTGACTACTTCTTTCGTCAAGGACTACTTGTCGCAGGTTGCGGTAGACCTCAAGAAGTGCTTCGATGGTCCGCCTTTTGATTTCATTTGTTTGATGCGCGGCGCTTTTGGTACGGCACGTCTGTAATCGGTGCGTGGTTGTGGCAACGTGATGTGGTTATGTTTTGTTGCCCTGGTAAAGACCTCGTTTATCAGATGTTACTTTTCATTAGGCAGTACTCGTCAGGACAAGACGCTGGCGACTGCTTACATCAAGGACAAGCGCTGGGTGGCGCGCAGTGATAATACCGCCATACTCTGTAGATTGAGACGCCCAAGCATAATCGGCAGTTGGGATATCTTAGCGCGATTTCTACACTTGCGTGATATCAGTTCGACTTTGCGGTATCTCGACTGTGCCACAATATTTTCGGTGGTTCGCATTTTGCGGTATGTTGCAGTATCTTGACACGGCCGCGCTAGATTGCAGATTGTTTTTTTGCGCATGCGTTCATGTAGAATGGAAAGGGGAGGGCAGGGGACATGGCAAGGATGACGGGAGAGAATGGGACACCACGATTGGGAATGAGGGAGGTCACCGTGCAGCGTGAGGAAAACCTTGCACCGCCTGAGACATGGTGAGTGCTCGTTTGCTGGCAGGCAAAAAATGCGTCGATTGCAGCTCTCCTGTGTCACGCATGGGTCACTTCTGATGTCCATGTTGTGGGTTGCGCCTCTGGCCGCGCATAGAAGCATGCGTGTCTTTGCTTCCACGCCGCGCATGGCTGTGCGAGCGCGCGATTCAGGCGCACGAACCTTGAAAGCAACAACGTACGTTGATGCAGCGTATGTATCATTACATACAGCTTATATCTAGATGTAATTTAGATGTAAGTTACATGCAATTGCATGCATTGTAAATGCATTATACATACAATGCACATTCAAATCGGCATGCAATGTACATGCATATGACATCACATTTACTTACATGCAAATCGACATGTCATGTACGTGCGCATCCGACTTAAGTGAAGTTTACATTCAGTTCAACCAAGATGTAGTTGAGATGCGCTTTGCATGAACTGTATCACTGCGCGTGTCTATGGTGCAATACTCCATGTCGTTCACAATTCGGCGTGCACGCGTGGTGCCGTTCATATGTAGCGCGCAAGCAGCTTACATGGAACTTGCGGTGTAAATCATGCATATTTTACACGCGCTACACACCAACATTGCGATGCAATTCAGATGTTGAGACCGTTGAGGTGCAATTCTAAAATAACGTATCTAATATGCAAACTTCCCTGCTCTCCCTGAGTCTGTTTCGGTTTGCCACGCGTGCAATCTACTGCTGCATAACTACACAATGCCAGCGTCAAACACACGTGGCTACACGGCACAACGCTTCGAGCTGCAATGCCCCATATCCTATGCGCGCTGGCAGTTTAGTAATGTGAGCTGCGTCCAGCTTACATTGTGGAACAAGTAGCTGCTACGCGTTTGAGCAGAATTGACCATCGCTTGCGCTTGAATCGATGTATCACACAGGTGCGTGAGCGTGTTCTGCTCACGCAGCTAATGCTGCATTTCAGTGCCATTGCCACGCGTACAGTTGCGCGTTAGCTTGTTTAATGCATTTTAGCGCAAACTTCGGCATGCACAAACGTCGTGCATCTTGGCCCGCGACGCGCCATGGGCGGCGGAGGGGGCAAATGAGTAGGAAAACGCAGGCCGCCCCCCGACCCGCCCCTCCAGCAAAACCGTGGAAAAAGGAAAACGAACGCCCCGTAGAGAGCAGACGAGCCATTTGGCTACATACTTGTTAGAGCTATGGGCCTGGGGCATGATATCTCCGCAGCTTGTCCAAGCGATATCCGATCGAGCCAGGGCCGATTTTGAAAAATGGTTATCCGGTGGGAGCCCTGGGGTCCCCGATGATTTGGCAAACTTGGCTGGCTTGGGTTCTAGGGGCGCTTATCCGAACAATTGTCACAAAGGGTT